GGTCACAAAAAAGAACAAAACAAATGAGAACCAAAGAAGTGAAATATGTGCACCATGTCACTAACCATCACTTTAGGCAACACGGGTATAATCAATAGCTCTGCTTGCGAGTGGGAAAAGGTAACAATTACATATCCATTCATACCAAGAATGTCTTCTCCAAAATTATTCAGTTTTAATACATTGTAAGGCAAATGAAGATATTAGTCTCTAACCTTTTGATGATTGTGGTATGCTTCTTCCATTAGTTTGTGATAGTCTGTTCAAAGATAAACAAGGTACTTTGTCAATCTTGAATAGCGGAGAATAGAAGGAAACATTCAAATTAAGCTATGCGAGAGTAAATGCAGCTGAAAATGGAAAACATGGATGACATCAACACTTTTTTCTCAAAGGCTAAAGCCACTAAGTATGCATGTCCATTTTGAACAAAAACAAAGTGTGTGTCATGTCCATACAAGCAAGCTAGTAAAATTAATCTTTACTAGAACAAAGGAAAATCATAACTCAACGGCATACATATACAGTTATACATTGAATCATAACTCAAGCTTGTATAATTGTTGTTTTTGGATAAGTGCATCTATTTTATAATTGTTGCCATTGTATTCTTCATATATTATCATTAAAAAAATACATTTTGCATATAATTTAGTTTCAAACATTACATCAAAGTTCATTTTTCATCATTTGACAAAATGGAGAATTTCAATGTAGAGAATGACCATCCAAACAAGCTTCAGAATTGAGCCTCTCAGTCGAATTCCAAGTGGCAATTCTGTGCACATCCAAACAACAGAATTCATGTTCAATGTCAATATCAAAGTCAAGGAGATTTGATATTGGGGCCAATTCAATGCCATGGCCCTGAATATCAACATCCAAACAAAACGCAATAGTCTTTAAAGGTTCAAAATGTAGACCATAACTAGATCAAGAGCAACATAAGATCCACAAACATGCAAGCTAGACAATAGTCTTCTGCCTCTTTCGGCTCTAAACATCAATTTCTTTATCCCTCCTTATACTAGAAGACTGAAAATTAGCTGCCAGATTATTCAGAATATTATGGATCGGGCTTGTACAAATGTATCTTGAGTACCTTTGAGAAAGTAAAGGATGTCTCCAACTCAAGTATTTGGAAAATGATACAGGAAAGTAGACAACGAATAATTGTTGAATCGGACTGTAGGATACACAAGTACTGGAAATCCTGAAAGGAAAAAATGCACTTTGTTGAAGACAATTTGTCAAACTTCACTTTCAACAGCTCAAAATACACATAATTGGCATCACCTTATTACAGAACACATGTGTTGGTCCAGAGATGTGCCCTGAAAGAGCCCAACTCTAATGTGAGGTAGATATTTTATGAAGAGAACTGGAGACATCATTTCCAAAACCGTCTGATAGAAGAGGCAAAGGGGATGTTGAAGGAACTATGTATAGCAACTAATCTTTGTTGCACTGATAGAAAAGACGTGTAAATTATTGAGAGTCACCGGGAGGCTATCTGACCATGTAAACTATAGGGTGTCTACCGTGTCCTGCATGTTGTATTACATCATGAAACAATGACACTTTAGACCATAATTTGGTACTTCTCCACTTCTCGCCTCCTGGTTTGTGCAATCAGGAAATACAGAAGATTGCTTGGTATGAAATGTATGGAAAATAATCCTATATGACCTAGTCGCATGGACCCAAACTGGAGACACCCTTCCCTGCATGATATCTGGCAAAACGAGTCTCAAAGCACCTAATCGTTTAGCTTTACCATATATTGATTTATGTAATGTAAAGTTGTATTGTAGGCCGAGCTCAGTTGTACTTGCTATCACGACCGTCTATTTTGCGTCATGATCTGTGCAACTTGGAGCACCACTAGCCCACATCTGACTGCTCCAGCGTCATTACCACATGTTGACCGGCCCCATCCTCAACATCTTCTACCACTATTAACCTTGTGGCTTAGGCTTGGTGGCAGTCAGCGGGCAATTACCATTCCTCACATGTGAAGAGTTGCCCGACACAACACAAATAGAGGTTCTATCCAGGATTCCTGCTTCATGGCGTGTATGCAGTAGAGAGAGAGAGAGAGCAGAAATGGGGAGGAGAGAGAGAGAGAGCAGAAGTCTAGAGACATGAGAGAAGGAAGAAGAGACAACATGCAACTTCTTAAGAGAGAGAGAGAAATAGAGAGAGAGAGAGAGAATGTGGAGACAACAGGTGGGACAGAGGTACTGCTGCTACAATAAGCATGCATAGATTACTATTCACATGTTATACAAATCGCGCTGGGTAGCAAAGCATGGTTGAGATCTCAAGGGAAGGGAATCTGCCGTGAGAGGTATAGATAGGAGGTCCACCAGAGCTTGGCCTTGAAAAAAACATGATCATTCTGTAGCTAGTGTTCTTTGACCTGTCGAGCACCCATTACTCTAGTCGCCGCCCGTCCGATGTGGTCCGCCCTAGTTGCTTACCAAAAACGCCACCGACGTGCTCCTCTATGCCAGGCCCAATTCCCATGCTCGGCGCGCACCATGCTACCAGTAACAACAACATTTGTTGGGGCCCCAGCTCACCGCCCCCTTGTTACTCAGCACATCCGACCATGGACACGCTCATCGACCTTTGAAACAAACCATGTTCGTTGGAAACTCCCTTTACCCGTGGGCTCCATGCCTATCAGATACAGTCATGTTCGTTAGAGACCCAGCTCACGGCACAACCCAAGCTGCTTGCCCCGTCATGTGAGCGTGTCTACACCCAGCCCAGGAGATGCTATCAACCAAGACAAGGCACGACCCAGGAGAGAACGAAAAGAGCCAGTTGGCTTACAAGAGTTGAGTTTGCCGAACCTTCTAACTATAAGTAGTTCTCTTTGTCGATCATTGCAACTTGGAATGAAAGGAATAAGATAGGCTAGGAACATAATGCACCAGTGACTCACCTTGAGGGTGTGGACTGGTGGAATAGGTCGACTCCAACCACTGTTTTTGTTTGAAATTCGAATCTCCATGAATTACTTCCCTTCCCCAGGTTGATTGCTAGACCCACTAGTGTGTTCCTCACAGTTGTATTAGTTTCAGTTCAAATCCTGGACACCCGACACATCACCACGGGACGAGGTTCCACGACCGGCGGAAAAAGCAAGTTGTGGAGTGGCTCAAGTCGGAGAGTCGCGCCATTTACGACCTTCTCAATATGGAGTTTGCCACGGATACACGGGAGAGGTCGCTCGGGAAGATGAGGATCTTGTAGCGCTTCACCGCCCATAGCTGGACACAACAAGGCGGCACCAGATCGAGTCAGGTGAGGCGAGGGGGAGGGTTAGGCTGTTGGCGATTGGGAGGAGCGAATAAAGGAGAGGACCGAGGAGATGGGATTGAGCGAGACGAAGCATAAGGAACGATCAGAGGAAGGAACATTCGGGCCGGAATTAACAAGGGTGATTTTTTCATACGTTCTTTTTGGATAGGAATAAAATAGAAGAGATTACCATCCATTATTGAAGTGATGAATTAACCGTGTCATGCATTACTAGATAAGATGTTGATTGCCATACTTGAATTGATTGTATTGCAAAATATTGATTGGGTTTGTCCAGCTAGATGAAAACCGTTTTAAACAGTAAACCGGGAGCATATGAAAATCGATGGAAGGGTGGGAGGGACAGACGAAGGGATCAGACTACGTAAGATGGGAGACATGACTGAACATATTTTTTAGGTAGTAGAGATTAACCTATAAATTTCCATACTCTTACTAAGTATTTCAACAATTACTCTATTTAATGGACAAACCTCTTGTTTTTTTGTGTGGAAATAGAATCTCGCTAAGGAAGACTTGATGAATAAGCAAAAAGATCAAGCTAGCTTTCTTTGAGTTGTTCCATCCTATGAAATATTGTAAATTTGTAAAGTTTCCTCCACCAGCTCAATTTATTGCATCATCGAGAGGGTGGTGAAGATGCTGATTTGTTTTGTTTCTTTGCAAGGAGAGGGTGATTAAGGCGATATAGTGATGACCGAGGAGGAAAGGAGTGGGAAATAGAATTAGTTTGTCGTTGTATGAGTAGAAAACCACATGCCGTCACACATGACCAGCGCACCAGAACAGCAACCGCCGTCGATGAAGAGAAACATAGACTAGAAGGATCCAAACTTCAGACATAGACGTATATGAACGAAGACCAGATCTAGTCGGATCCTCCAAGACAAATGCCAACCGGATCCCACAAGATCCTTCGGAGACAAACCTCCACACGCCTTCCAAAAATGCTTAAACATCACCAGGACGGGGGCTAGGCGGGGAGGACCTTATTCCAACTTCAAGAAGCTGCCGCCACCTCATCTTCTTGAGCATGACAAACTCTAACAAAACTCAAAAAAGCACATAAAAACGGAGCCCTCCCACCGGTAAGGGTCGGGATCCATCGGGTCTTCATGATCCAAGGACCATAGGAGATGAGATGGACAGGCGGTAGGGCCAACGAGAGGTAGGGAGACCCTAGATGAGAGTTCCGCAGGAGGAGGCAGGAGCGAAGGACGATTTGATGAATAAGCAAAAAATATCAAGCTAGCTTTCTTTGAGATGTTCCATCCTCTAAAATTTTGTAAATATGTAAAGTTTCCTCCACCAGTTCAATTAATTGTATCATCGAGAGGGTGGTTAAGATGCTGTATTTTCTTTTTACAAGGAGATGGTGATTAAGGTGATATAGTGATGACCGAGGAGGAAAATATTGGGAAATAGAATTAGTTTGTCTTATATGAATAGAAAACCACACACCATCATATTTGACGCACCGTCTGAATTTTAATCTTCGTTTACTCACTTTTTGTATTTCGTGGCAACGCAGGAGCATTCAGCTAGTCCATATAATAAGATCTTAATCTTTTGAGTTTTGACCCCTTTTGAATTTGCACGCCACATTCCTTAGGAAAAATTTAGGTTTTGTCCATTGGGCCGGCGCGAGACCACGATACTGATGGATGATGGAAGCTGGGCCGGCCCGGCCCTTGGCATGGGGGATTTCTTCTTGCATCCATCCGACACCGCGAGCAGCAAAGCGAAGCGAAGGAACACTCTTTCCCCTCCGTCCGTCCCCTCCTAAAACCCTAGCAGCCCAGGCGGCGGCCTCCCCCCTCCACCACCGCGCCGCCCAAACCCCCAGCCTCTCGCCGTCCGGAATGGGGCGCGTCGACGGAGAAGACAAGGCCGCGCTCTCCCCCGGCGGAGACGACGCCGCCGATCTCTCCCCCGACGATTCGCCGTGGAGCGACAGCGCCTGGTCCGAGGACGAAGACGATGACGAGGTCCGCCCCACCCTCCTCCTCGCCCCATCGATTTTTTTCTTATTATTATTAGTCGGATTGTCGCTGATGTTTGCCCGGGTTGCCGCCGCAGGCCTCGCTGTCGTTCGAGGACAGCGGCGAGGGCTCTGACGTCGACTCCGACGGCCTGGAGGAGGAGGATGACGCCGCGGCGGAAGAGAGCGACTCCTCTGAGGACGAGGTGATTTAGCTGCTCCATGGCCATTTTAGTTGCGTACCTGGGGGACGGACTCCCAAGGTTATTATCAACTGGCATTGTTGTGCTGCAGGTTGCGCCGCGGAACACCATCGGGGACGTGCCGCTTAAGTGGTACAAGGACGAGGAGCACATCGGGTACGACATCTCCGGGAGGAAGATCAAGAAGCGGGACAGGGATGGCAAAATCGACAGCTTCCTCAGCAGCAAAGATAACGATGATGACTGGTACGAGGCTCCAACTCGATTGGCTGCTATATAGAATCGCGGGGTCTACCCTCAATGAGAACTTGACGATGGGATTAGTTATCCGTATGCTGCAACTTGCAGCTAAGAAAACAGGGGCTGAACAAACGGTTATCTTTTAGCTTCAGTATGAGTGCCTTTTATCATCTCACTCCAGTCTGTCATACTCCAGAACTAGCTATCCTATGCCCAACTCTGATTTTAGAGTTTGCATACTCAGCTGATATGAGAAAGCCTTGCCTAGTATCCCTGCAGTCTTGCACGATATGGAGTTAAATTGTTTTTCATCCCTTACATTCGTTCATATATTGTCTGATGCTAAGTTAGGTGGGTCTGGGTTACCTTACTGATTAAATGCCCCATCCTCACCTCTTGCCAAGTATAGGAGAAAGCTTTGGGATGACTATAATGGCGAGGAGGTGAAGATTACCAAGGAAGAAGCTAAGATAATTAGTAGACTGATGAAGGGGAAGACTCCACACGCCAATGTTGATCCTTATCCAGTAAGTGTAACCGCCAAAATCATCGTACATTCATTTGAAGTGCTCCTTTTGTAACTACTCTGTAAAAATGACCCAGTTGGCCTGCTTAGTGGTTATTGTTTGCCAGTCACTGTTGTTGTGTATCTATATGATAAACATTTAATAGTGAATTCCATGTTGGCATTTACTAAGTGTCATGCATAATACTTGTTCTTTATGGACATAACTTTTACTTACCTGTACAAGTAATAATTTAAGCTGTAGTTGACATGTCAGCGGTGATTATGTACATGCATGCAAATTGAAATTATTCTTTTATAATTCATGGTTTCCATCCATTCTCTCTACATATAACTATAATGTTCAACATGGACCGAGTAAATTTCTCTTAGCATTATGTTGACTGGTTTGGTTACGCTGATCATTTAAGTTAATTCTTTTACAGTTTACGATTTCATTTCATTTTCTATACACATAACTATAATGCTCAACGTGGACTGAGTTAACTTTTCTTGTAGGATTATGTTGACTGGTTTGAATATGCTGATAAAGGCCATCCACTTTCTAACGCTCCTGAACCAAAGAGGCGATTTGTTCCCTCAAAGTGGGAGCAAAAGAAGGTATATCCTGAGTTTCCTCCTCTTTTATGTTATGTTAGAGCTTTTCATAAAATCTACATGCTCTTCAATTTATTTTAAGATACATTAAACTGCAGGGGTAAGACTAGGTTCCTATAATCCCTCCCCAGACCCCACCTTGTGTGGGAGCTTCTATGCACTGGGTCTGTCCTTTTTACATTAAACTGCAGGGATGGTTTGTTAATCTGTTCGTTTGAGATCTGAAATATCTTGCTTAAGAAAAGAAATACCCCATTGAAATGTATTTTCTACAGAATGGTCTAAGAAATTTGTGCCACAACAAACTGATAATTGTTGGGCAGGTCATGGGTGATATTTTAGTACATGATTATGATGTGTTTCTAGTTTTCATGTTTTTGCTGTCTGCCTTGGATTGTTTACTGTTTAGATTAGATTTTCAGATTTCGCGGTACTAAGTTATTGCATGTTGCAGCAAAGGATTACTGATGTTAGTTTAATTTCCACTGTTGTCCGGTTGCCTAGAATTTTGTGGGCAACCATTGAATATGACCATGTGATCTTAGTACTCCATAAACAGACTCAGTAGCCATACAACTAATTTGTTATGTATCTCTGAAACTGGTTCAGAAGTTTGGATTCTTGTTGTATATGCTTTCTTGCTGGGTAAGAATTATAGAGATTATGTGCTGTTAGTACTGGTCACATAGTCTCAATTGCCACAGAACTTATTTGTTAGTTTCTTTCTGAAAGTGCTTTGGGATTGTATTTGTGCTATCATGTTTCTTTCCTGTCATTTATAACTAATAATTACTTGGCATTGCCATTTACTTTATATTTTACCCCATTTTTCTTTTTTGGAAGGTTGTTAAACTCGTTAGAGCCATTCGTAAAGGATGGATCAAGTTTGACAAGCCAAAGGATGAGCCAAACTATTACCTCTTGTGGGGAGATGACACTGATACAGCAGACAATAAGCGGCAAGGCTTGAGCTACATCCCTGCACCTAAACCAAATTTGCCAGGTACTGGCATGCCATCATTTTGCAAGCCTGTCTTACCTGAAAAGTTTTTCAGCAATTAATTTGACCGGATGACCTCCCATTCTATTGAAATGGATTGAAACAGTCTTGGAATGGGCATTTCTGTTCCGTAGTTGATGTTCTATTCATTCATGATGCCATTAATTTCTTCTATTCAGGTCATGAAGAGTCGTATAATCCTTCTGTTGAATATATTCCCACACAAGAGGAGATAGATAACTACCAGCTTATGTACGAGGAGGACAGGCCGAAATTCATCCCACGGCGGTATAATTTCTTTCACATTGTCATTATGATTTTTCTTTTGCATGGTCCGATTCGTCTGGGGAAATTTTGTTATGTGACCCCTTTATTTTGTGCCGTTGATTATGCAGATTTGAATCTCTTAGAAGTGTACCTGCCTACGAGAAGGCACTTAGGGAAGGATTTGATCGGTGCCTAGATCTTTATCTATGTCCTAGAACTCGCAAGAAGCGTGTAAGTGGAGGATATATCTTCTTTTCATAACTATATATGTGCCTTTATTGCCTGGATTCCAGTTTATCTTCTATTATCGTGATGCTGTTTTCAATGCATGATGATTATTTGACAATCCCACAGATAAACATTGATCCTGAGTCGCTCAAGCCAAAGTTACCCAGTAAGAAGGATCTGAGGCCATATCCACGAACTTGTTACCTTGAGTTCAAGGGCCATGGTGGTCCAGTGACGTCGCTGTCAGTTGAAGCAACAGGGCAGTGGATAGCATCAGGTATAGACTGTAGATATTTATTTTCTATGTTCTTCCTGAATATATATGATAATGTTCTGATGGTTCAAATGGTAATGAACTCAATGTGATTAGTTAATTTGCTTTGAACTCTGATGTTTGGTCAGACCATTTCATAGAAGGCCCTTAACACTTTTGGTGTAACCAACTTTATTAGTATGCATGATATACAGAAGTAGTAAATGATAGTGTTGTAATGCCAAATATTATTGACCTAATCTCAAGATTCCAAAAAGAGGAGGGTCTTATATTTGTAGAAGGGTGAGGAATTGGACAAGATAATTCCGTGAAAAGGCTCCTTTGCTCCATGAGTTGATCTCATCAACTTGAGCATGGCATTTTCTTACATTACAGTTCTTCTTTGCTGAAGGTTCATCTGATGGAACAATTCGTGTTTGGGAGGTTGAAACTGGTCGCTGTCTTAAGGTTTTCAATGTTGGTGCTGATGTCCATCATATTTCGTGGAATCCTTCACCTGAGAGGCCCATTCTGGCTGCTATTGTGTATGCCTTCGCCATTCACAAGTATACTTCATTTTCTGGCGTTACACATTCTCACCATTCATCTTATTTTGTGCAGTGGCCGTGATCTTCTGCTTCTTAACACTGAGGTGGGGGATGAGGAAACTCAAGTGAGGACAAAGCAGCTCCTCCATGTCGAGGAACCGACCCCTGAAGATGATGGTAATAGTTGTCACCCAAACAATTCTTCCACCACCCTTGTTCACTGTGTTCTTAAATATTTAATTATATTGCAGGTGATAAGAAACCAGCTGTGAGGTGGGTGAAGAATGACAAATTTGACGGAATCACATTGATTCATCATAGGGTATAATTACTTGAGTGTTACTTATCATTCTCCTAAATGCGTGGCTTTTTGTTCGCATGCTTACTCTTGTTTTATTGTTCAGGCTGCATCAACTGTGGAGTGGCATTCAAAGGGAGACTATTTCACGACAGTTGTGCCAACTGATATCCTCTTTGCTTTGTTTAATTTATTAGTGATGCATGAGCACAATAACAAATATGTTCTAAAATATTTTTCTCTAGATTCAATCTTGGAGCTGCCATGCAACATTCTAACTATATCAAGATAATCATTTGTGACGGTTCTATAGTGTGTGCCCCAGCAAAGTTGTCTTTTCTTTCTTTGTTTCAGAGCTGTGTGCTTTTCTTTCTTATTGGGTCACTCTTTCAGTTCATAGTTACTAGATATGCATCCCCGCCTCCATTGTGTGTACACAGATTCTTCAAATTTTGATTATCTATTCTTCCGTTTGTCTACCTTAATTCCTTTGTACGTGAATCAAGGGCTGTACTGTTGCATCAGCTCTCCAAGAAGCATTCTCACCATCCTTTCCGTAAATTGCCGGGACTCCCTGTTGCAGCAGTATTCCATCCAACTCAAAAGATGTTCTTTGTTGCCACTAAGAAGTTTGTTCAGGTTTATGATCTCCAAAAGGCAGAGGTAGTGAAAAAGCTGGAGTCAGGTCTCCGGGAAATTTCGTCTATCTCCATCCATCCTGGTGGTACGTATAAAACCAACTGTTTACTAATTTACCAAGATTGACTAATTTACCAGTTGATAAATCTCGGGCTGGTTCATATTGCCTTTGCATCTAAGCTGTAAACCAGTTGTTAGAACTAATTGTAGTGCAACACTGTTTGTTGGATTGCCTTATTAATGGCATTGCAATTCTTTCATGCAGGTGATAATGTTATTGTGGGAAGTAAAGATGGTAAAATATGCTGGTTCGATACTGATCTATCTACGAGGCCATACAAGATGTTAAAGTATGACTTCTCTTACCTTTAGTCTCATTGTTTCTGTATTTTGTTTTCAGTTTTACTCCCCTGCTCTTATATTAGTTTACAGAGGGAGTACATTGGCAAGGCTAATGTTTTAGGCAGTTGATTGTTATTATTTTATCTTTTCTTTGTTCAAATTTAGTTCAGCCAACTTAATGTTTGTTATGGACCTTAATACAAATTGTTTTATGTACCAATCACTAAATTCTTGAATGTATGATATGTACCACATGCTTTGCTACCTGATGTGGCCGTCGATTAATCAAGCGGCACTACATACCACATGCTTTGCTATCTACTGCGGCCACAGATCACTCCTTTATGCTATTCTTCAAACTCATGGCCGAACTTTTCCTTCTTGACAGTACCGCTATGCGCAAAAGTGTTATCTATTAAATGTCGATGATTTCTGCTGCTTAGTCTTCCGGTGCCCATGTTTGAATGGTCTTTACTGTAAAAACAACTTCATGTTTTTTCTGGTTCTAGTTATTGTCTTCTGGTTCTAAGTTATTGTCTTGTTTCTAAAAATCTCATTACATACAGTGTTCTTTTTTGGACAGTACCCACTAGTTATACTGTTCTGTATGAGTTCATATTTTGTATTTATTTTCTTTATTTCAGGAACCACTCGAAGGATATAACCAGTGTTACTTTCCACCGGAGATACCCTCTTTTTGCCTCGTCATCGGAGGATTGTACAGCTCATGTGTTCCATGGGATGGTCTATGCTGATCTCAACCAGAACCCACTTATTGTGCCACTGGAGATTCTTCGTGGCCATTTGAGTTCAGATAGAAGAGGTATATTGTCATACATCATGTGGTTTTTATAATTCACATTATTTTACATCTTCCGTTTGTAGATTCTTCTTATTTGCACTCATAGACATTTTAACTTTCATCAAAGCAGTTATATGGCAGTGGCTAAACTCAGTTACATTCTTATGTTTTTCACTGGAAGAATGCAAGTCATATATGCTTTTGCATTGAACCTCACATTAATACATTGTAGTTTCCTTGATCCATATGGTGCCAGTTTGAGCTGAAGTATGTTTGATGTGCTATGTTCTCATATCTGATCACTTATTACAAATTACACTAAATTGCTTATAGCTGTACTTGCTTTTGATGGTCTATTTGGTGCTTGGTAGTTTTTTGAGAATCAGGGACAGACTAGTGTAATATTGAGTCTGTAATGTTGTAGCATGTGTCTTGTCAAATTAAAATTATTCGCAAGGAAGAAAGTTAGATTCGGTTAATTGACCCAAGCAGTCTTTTTGGGCATATGGGCCCCGAAGGATGCATAATTGCAAATTCAAGGTTTGGGCAGGATCAAATTTGTACTCATAGAAGGAAATGTGCATTTATCATTTTGCGTCGCCAAAAGTTATTTTTGTTTATAACAACAATGATCTAGACATTGTGCATAGCCATCCACACAAAGCTATGCTTTATGCAAATCTTGTAACGATAGGTTATGGTTTTGTTGCTGTGCAGGAGTTTTGGATTGCAAATTCCACCCAAGACAACCGTGGCTGTTCACTGCTGGCGCCGACTCGGTGGTTAGGCTTTACTGTGATTGATGACGATGCCTTCAAGGAGCATGCAGTTTTAGGTGCCAATCTCCACGTGGGCTTTTCACGATGATGATGATGTTCTGCCGTTTTGCCAAGAGTCACATGCCGGAGCCAGGAAGGAATTACGTCTCGTTGCGATTTGTGATCTTAGTTTTGTTTGGAGAGATTGTTGTATCTTTTTTTATTCTTGTTATATGTGTAACAATTAGTAGATGAGAGGGAAAAGTTAGCTGTGTAATAACAGCAGAGTGTGGAAAGATAAGTATTCTATTCCACACGTAAATTTGGAGCTGCCGCTTCTTTTTTCTTTTTGATGAGATGTATTCTTGTTCAGTTACATGGTCTCCAAGGCCATTGCAGCTGCGCATCAGCATGGCTGCTGCTGCCGCCGCCAACGTCCAAGGGACTTTTGGCTGCCTGCTGAGCCACATCGTCGTGGTGCCCACACTGTAGGATGGCTTCGAAGACGCTCTTCAAATTTATGAGATACAGATCTGTGTATTTATTCGAAGTGATTCCAAACAAGTCGCAATGAAACTTTCTCAATGATTTTGATGGCTTTGACACCAAATTATGGTTCCGATTTGAAGGGATATCACATAGATGGGCGCAGATTGGACGATGCGACTAATGAAATCTGATTTGCAAGGTCGTTGTACAACTCGATGCAAATTGGAATTGGGGTGGGGATGAGCACTTTAAATAATCCCATTTTCCGCGTTAGTTCGTGTTGGTCACATGGCTTAATTAGGAGGGATTGTTCAGCGGGAGGATCTACTGCCACATTTCAGAGCATGGCCCACCACACGAACACTCTACACACCATGGTCTTCGTTGATCTCAAGATGACTGTTACCTCTCCAGTGATCTAAAACATCTTATACTTCCCATATTTCTTTTTAGTCAGTATATAATATTTGGTTAAAGTCAAACTTTGTAAAGTTTGACTAACTTTATAGAAAGAAATATCAACATCTACAATAAAGCTATATTGTATGAAAATTAATTTCATGATGCATCTAATAATATTGATTTCATATTGTAAATCTTGATATATTTCTCTATAAACTTAGACCAAAGTTGACAAAGTTTGACTTCGACTAAATTTTATAGGCAGACTAAAAAGAAACAGAGGAAGTATTTGTTTATAGAGGAAGTACTTGTCATGCATGATCACAAAGTTATACAAGATGAGCAGGCCTCACCTTGTGGTTGATAGCCGGACAGTCTTCATGCACGCGCCCCTAAGGACTAGCGTCCTGTCAGATCTCGCCGTCGCACACGGACGGCAAAAAAACACTAACACCACCGTTTAAAGGAAACGACAAGAATCTACGTCGGAGCTCTATCGGTTCCACCCAGACACACGAACTCAAAGGGGATTGGAGCCCCGAAGACCAACACCGACTTTGTAGGGTAACCCATAAAAATAGTGTTAGTTGCATGCTTCGAACTTCTTGCCCTCTTTGCACTTGCAAACCAATTTCAATGGATGTGCAGATTAAACCGCCGTGTCATCATTTTTTATTGAAAAGGAGGATGACTCCGGGCCTCTGCATCTGGGCGATGCATGCAACCATTTTATTAATTATTCACAAATATCTTACAAAGTAATACATCAGTAAGTCTGAAGCCACCATCTTGGCAACATCTGTCGCTACTCCTATCCACTTGATGAAGGGGTGTCGATTGTCCAAGCCGAATACCAAACATACCTCACACCAAAGCCTAACATTAAAGTCGGATGTCCCAACCAAGACGCATTGCCGGGTCCGGGGCACACACCGGTCCGACACACTCTTAGAGGCCGCAACCGCCATCTCCCACCGATCCATCTTCAGAGCCGGTACTGACGCATCGACCTTGCCAGGTCTATCGTCGACGCCACCACGGCGCCAGACAACGCTACCTCCCTACACGCGTCCATCATCACACATCCGTCACCGAGACCCTGCCGCGCCATGCCGCCGAGGCTCCACGTGTCGAGGTGTCACATGGTGAAAGAGCATGGTGCCCCCATGTGTGGTTTTGGTAATTGATGACATTCTCTATGGATTAATGGTTGCCTTGAGGTATATTAGTAGGACCTGCTCATAGGCTTTTCTTGAAGTCCATTTATTGGTTTCATGGAGTTTATGTGATGATCAATGTGTTATTCAAGGAATTATCCAAGGATTAGTCATAGAGAAAACATGATACAAGGTTGATCACAACTAAGTCAAAGAGTGAATCAAGGTGATCAACACACAAATCGTCAAGATGTATCGAGAGCGATCAAGTGATCCCATGGTATGGTAAGCATTGTATATTACGCTTTGTGTACTAACCCATGGTCTACGTGAGAGTTCTATGTGGGGTTAGGTTGCGTTGTGAAAGTTCAAGAGGAGCATCACTAAGAGATCACATGCTTGAAGCTTGACGTCCATTGTGGTGACAATGGACTTGTGAAGATGTGCTGAAAAGTGGCTCACCCATAGTGGTGTATGGGGGAGCAATCTACTAGTCTTCATCGAGCCAACGCAATCAAGAAAGATGGTCCAACTTGAGGGAGTCAAGATCGTCATCATCTTGCTCAAGTGGACTTTGTGCAAGGCAAAGGTTTGCCCTTGATAGGTTTTCTATTTTGCCGGTCTCATGGTGGTAGTTGGGAGACCAGTTTATAGGATCGATTGTCGTACTATCAAGGGGGGCTCTCAAGTGAGTAGCTTGATCGTATTTGCATCCTTGCATCATCTTTCTTGGTTCTTGTCTGGTTTTCTCTATGTGAGTTTTTGGGCTTTTGGTCATCTTCATGACAAGATCGAGTTCATCGAAAACAGAGTTCATATGCATCTTCTATGATGTTTTCGATGTTGGAGTTTTTGCCGGTTCTTCACGGAAGGAGGTTTCACACCTATATATCATTAGGCATTTTTCTACTACCACTTCTTACTGTAACCAGTCGCTGTTGGATAGTATGTGTCGTCGTCTATCCAACAAGTTTGAGTTTGCTCTATTCGGAGCTCATTTGCAGAAGTTATAATAGTTCTGGTTTTCCCGCATCCATCTGTTTTGCTTGGGCTTCTTTGTGGCACTCTCGTGGTAGTACCGCTCTGGGAAGCGGTAGTACCGCTTATAAATGGTACTTCCGCTATCCAGTACTGCAGCTACTACTGCTGCTTCTGGGAACTCGACTTTTCATGTCGGGTTGCGTGATAGTAGAATTGTAGTGCGAGCGGTAGTACCACTTATAAGTGGTAGAAGCGGTACCGCTCCACTTCCACTATCCAGTTGCTTCTGGATCTGTCACGCTCTCAGTGGTAGTAGCGCAACAGTGAGTGTGCGGTACTACAACTTATAAGCGATAGTACCGCTCACACTGTACGGGTACCAGTGACTGGCCCCAAGGGTTATCATTTGTACGGGTTCGGTGACCGTCCTTAAGGGTACCTTAGTCGAATCACGACATCTTGCATCGTGCGAGAGGGCATGAGGAGATTACGATGGCCCTAGTGGCATTTTGGGGAGCATTGTGCCTCTACACCGCTCCAAACGGAGATTAGCATCCTCAAGGGTGTGAAATTAGGGATACATCATCGTCTCCGCGTGCCTTGGTTATCTCTTACCCGAGCCCTTTACTTATGCACTTTACTTTGTGATAGCCATAGTGTTTCTTGTTGTATATCTTGCTATCACATAGTTGTTTATCTTTCTTAGCATAAGTTGTTGGTGCGCATAGGTGAGCCAGTTGTTTTATGTTTTGTGCTTGGCAAATTAAACACTAGTTTTATTCCGCATTTGTTCAAGCCTAAACCGTAACTATTTTAAAGCACCTATTCGCCCCCTCTAGGCAACATCCACGATCTTCACATGGAACGCCGCTCCACTGCTGAGCCATCCACTGGTCCCTCAAGGCAATGCGCACCTCCAAAAATGATGCCCCCACAGGGGGAACGACACGTGAGTGACGCCATCATCTGATCGACTGTTCAAGGGTTTTCCCCAAAATTAGCGAAAGGAGGCAGGAACTTCACCTCAATGATGCCTCCAAGAAGGAAACCGCCAAGGGTCTCACCATCACCGACTCCGGCCACTGGCTGCACCCGGATCTTGTCCCATGAGCATCCATCCCACATCTTGTGCATTGACCAGACCACCTTCAAAGCCCCAGATCTGGCCTCACAGATCCGGCGACCACCTATAGCAGCCCTGGCACACCGGCCATTGCCTGCGTGTGCCATCACTGGAGTTCGGGAGAGGGCTGCCATCCCACCTCGCAAAACTGCAAGAGCCGTTGGGAAGGGTCCCATGCGTGCTCGTCACCGTCACTGATCCGATCTAATCTGGAGCCGCCACCAAATCATCGGCGGAGTTACGCCTTGGTCAAGGACATCACCACGCCATGCCACCGTGGGTCGCCTGAGCTTCACCCGCCGCCACCTTCCAGGGCCGCCACCCCAGGATCCAGGCCAGGAGACCAGGAGACGCATGCATGCACCCAACTAGATCTAGCCGCTGCCCAGACCTCCACGGCGGTGGCGGTGGCCCGCAACCAGGCAGCCAAGCCTCCAGCCAAGGCTGCCGCCTGGAGCACGCCGTCGCGCCACCATAGATCAGATCGCGGCCGCGCTGTCTCGCGCTAGGAGATCTTGCCCCATCCCCTCCTACACGAGTCAGGGAGGATAACCCCCGCCACCGCTGTCGGCCGCCGGGCCTAGCCCATCGGCATCCTCCGGCGGCGTCATAGAGAAGGGAGGGAGGTGGTGGTGACCCTAGTGGCTAGGGTTTGGGGAGCCGCCTGAGTCGCCCATGACGGGGCGACGCGGGGGCGACGATGATGATTTAGAAATCGTTATTTCCATGTCATCGGAGGACCCAAATAGCTAGACCAAAAAAATCCGCTATGTAATCGAGGGGAAAGTGAGGATATATATTTTTAAAAGGAGTGTGCGAGTTTTGTTTAAAAGAGCGCTTGTGGTATCAATATCTAAGGATGTGTGAGGGTATGAGTTGGGTAGACATCCAGT